CAAAATGGTGGCATTCTTGATGGGTCTCCAAGGCCGTTTTACCAAGTTTCCCTGCTATCTTTGCCTTTAGACAGCAGGGACACCAAGGCGCACTACTACAGACAGAACTGGCCACAGTGGACCGAGTTCTCTGTGGGGAGGAACAACGTCAACTGGGAGCCACTGGTGGACCCCCGGAAGGTGCTGATGCCACCACTGCACATCAAATTGGGCCTTATGAAACAATTTGTCAGAGCTGTAGATAAGGAGTCGGTAGCCTTCAAGTACCTTCAAGACTTCTTCCCTAAGCTGTCTGAGGCAAAGGTCAAAGCCGGTGTCTTCGTTGGACCACAGATAAAGAAGATCCCGGAGTGCAATGAATTCCCCAAGAAGCTCACTAGTAAGAAGAAAGCGGCTTGGAATAGCTTTGTCGCAGTGGTTCGTGGTTTCCTGTGCAATCACAAGTCCAAAACTATGTGGAGTTGGTTGAGACTCTGGTGAAGAACTACGGCACAATGTGCTGTAGGATGTCCCTCAAAGTCCATATCCTTGATGCTCATCTTGATAAATTCAAGGAGAGCATGGGAGCGTACTCGGAGGAGCAAGGCAAGCGCTTCCACCAGGATATACTGGACTTTGAACGCCACTACCAAGGACAGTATAACAAGAACATGATGGGAGACGACATTTAGGGGCTGATTGTAATTTTTGCATTACTTGAGTATAAATACATGTTAATTTTGATTCATATGTTGTTGTTTTTCTATGTGAACGAAAAGACACAAATTTGCCCGTTTTCTCATTGAAAATAGGTAAATTGCTAAATATCACTGTCCTGGTCACAAAAGCAAAGTTTGTGGGGAATAATAGCCATTTTCTATACTTTTTAGGCATAAGCAATTACGAAATAACACTTATTACCCAGGAACAAAAATTGTGTTACATAGTGTTATTGTATTCTCTGCGGTTTTCTATCATGTGCCTCTTCTCCGGTCACATCCACTGCCCTCATATCTCATTCCACTGCTTCCTCCCATCTTAACCATAGTCTCCTATTCCTACTTTTGCCCTGCACCAATATTATATCCTTAGCCATTTTATTTACATCTTCATTTTTTCTTTTCAACACATGCCCAAATCATCTGAATCCACCCCACCTTTTCAAGAATACTAATAACCGATGCTGAGGCTCCAACTTATTCATTCTGCCCCTTTCATTTCGAGATATCCCCAACATCAACCATATAATTGTTTCTACATCATTAGACCTCCTTTGCCAGTACCAAAATATAATAGGGTTTTTCCCCTTTTTTCTGGCAACAAAACTGGAACCTTCTTACAATGATTCCTGTCTGGATTAACCACAATACTTGCAGTCAAATGCAAACAAAAAAACACACTATGATAATATATGCATTGTCCTTGAAACTGATTGGTCCACACCAAAGGACGGCTTTCTTTTGAGCCTCGACCCAATTGGTGCTCGACCAGAGGACGCCTTTTGGCGTCATATAATTGTTATCAATGTTCTTTAAACTAGGGCTCTATGACTCTATTACATCTGTAGAGGTGTTACGGAGGAGGTGTTATAGAGTTGATACGGATGGGAAACAAACACACTGGGCGTGGCTATGTCTGTACGCGAGCAGGTGCTTACATCAACGTCCGCGCCGTTTAGCCTGGGGGGCTAATACGGCGCTGGGATCTCCCACGGCCCCACCCCTCAGGGGGGAATTGCTATATAAGGCGGTGAGCCAGAGGGCTCGGGGTTGAGTGTTCAGCTTTAACCAGAGAAGCAAGAAGACCTGCTAGATAAGCCCTGGGACTCCCTTGGATCGCTGTCCTTCTCAGGACCGACCAAGGCCAGCCAGTGGCGTGGCCCCAAGAGCCCAGAGCCGATGCTCTTGTAAGAGCCGGTCTGGGAACTCAGGGTGCCGTAATCCCAGCTTAACCAGGGCTGGGTTAGCTAGCCTCCCCTAGCCCGATAGTGGAGGACCTAGGAATAGGCTAGCTGTAACATAGGTTGTCGATCTCCCAGTTAGACGGGTGGAGGGGCCGATACCCCTCCGAGTGTTGTATATCTCGGCCTGAAGATACAACTGTGTTGAATAAATAAGTGTGCCTCCGACTGCGTCGTCCAAGCCTCCTTGAACCACACTACACATCTAACACTCACATAACACGAGTCGTTCAGTGAACATTTGTGAAGGTTACACAATCGTAAGACCACAGTAAATCTATGCATACATTACATATTACGTACATATTGTCATATATTAACTAAAGTGTCATCATTCCATGCATGCTATTTTTTTGTCAAAATCAACGTCATGCTGTAAAACAGGTATAAATGTAAATCAAGCATTGCTTCCCAAAATGCATTTTATAAGTGGTACTGTACGTTACATTATATAAAGCATTTAAACCTAATCACCATCAGCCATGGTGAATCTTCTGCTGGATAAAGGCCTTCCCAGCTATCTCATAATTCGATAAAACTAAACTTATTTTAAACAAGATAAGGCCCACTGAGCTATACATATCTTTTTCAGAAGTGACCTGGCCACAAATAATAACTCAACGAAGTGGCTTATCACGTGGAGATGTATAGCAGCCAAATACTCTAAACACATTCTTTTAAATGTCGGGGGAAACCGGAGGACCCACAATACAATCCACACAACCACGAGGAGAGACAACATGCAAACTACAAATATACAGCAGGCGTCAGGGTCGGGATCGAACCCACGACCTCCTATATACCAGGCGATGTAGTTAACATCTCACCACCCTGAAGTCCTCCCTAACCATCTCTCATGATCCTTCGATAAAACCATCAACCCAGCACCTCTCTTGACGTAATCTCGGACGCGTTCTATTCCTTGGCTACAGTAGTGTCGCTATTACTATTGACCATTGGGCATCATGCCAAATCCCACTTTGCTTTACAGTTTGCATGACGTATGTTCCTCTTTCCTAATCGCAATGCAATTTCAAGCACGCAACTCTTCATACTTTGCGCACTTTTCAGTTTTTGTTACATTGTTTGTGTAAATAACCATGTCATAGTCATGAGTTATATTTATACTATAAACAAGCTCGACGCTTAACGATAGCCATTTCAAGCATTCAAGTTACGACTGATAGTTTGACAGATACTTGCCAATTATTGAATACAATGTTTATACATAGTTATGCTGCGAATGCCTGGTAGATTAGTACCGTAGAAACATTTAATAGTTTACCAATTAACACTATTCGTCACGTGTGGATGTGAAAAATTCAGTGCCAGAACTGAAGTACTGCAGTCATTCTATGGTTATCTACAGATAATGCATATAAAACAATACAAATAACAATGGTTTAGCCATGGCTATGATATTGATCCTTGTAGAATTGTTGTCTATTAAAAGGAGCACACTATTTTAACCGAACTGAACATTGTGTTTCCAATAAGTATCAGAAATATCTCAGCCTATTCTAATTAAAATATATATATCTACGGTATTCAAATGCGTTTAGTAATGGGCAGTTTCCACGGCAAGAAATCGTTTCTCTTTCAGCCATTGCTGGCGTCGTGTGCGCGACTGGCGTTGTTTCTCGAGTATCGTAGCGATTGTAACCGTGATTGAATGGATTCTGTCACGTACATCCTACACCGAAACGCGTGTTCACTGCGTCCTTGAATTAATTTATTTGAACGAAATATAAAAGACGAGTAGTCCATGCTTAAACTGTGTGGGTAGGATACGTTTTGTGAAAGGACGTGTACATGTATTTATTACGGTTGTAAAAAAACTGTTTTCTTTCATTACCGGTAACCACATTGTAAAAAAATGTAAAAGCCGCTTTGCCTGTTTGCCGCGTGTACATATTGCATAATAAACACAATTGTACAACCCTGAATGTTGGTGTTTCCGTATTCAACATCTTATATAGGATACAATGGAAAGAACACTTGATTATATTTGGCCTACTCTGCCACACTGGCCAGCTATCTTGGGGGTAATACTTAATACATCGGGACTTGCAACCCAGAGATAGCTGGTTCGATCTCCCGGCGTGGCGGTTGAGACAATGGGGACAGTTTCTAAAACGCCTCCCGCCTCTGTCCACCCAGCGGCATAAATGTGTTCACCGTCGCTCGTCGATCGGCAGGTGTCGTGTGGTGGCTCATGTCTGGGCTGCCCACCACCCCTTCTCCCAACACATCTGAATGTCAGCGTGGAAGAGCCGATACCCTCTGAGGTTCCCTCTAGTGGTGGCCTTCCGCCAGGAGAGCAATTTCAGGGTTGCAGATTTGCCGTTTTACCCTTCTTTGCCTTAACTGCGAAACGAAGGCATCACACGGTGGCTTAATTAGCGATTACATGGGTTGTTTCACGACAACCGGTCACCGTTTTTGCATTCGAAATAAAAAAAAATCTAGTCAATCTGGAGGTGGCCCCTGATCGGTTCCAATATCCATCACTGATGTTGGTCGTGAGCAGAGGCGGATCTATAAACTTCCCAACGGGGGGCGGGGGGCTTAAGTTCAGGCTTTTTAAACGTGGAAAAATGCATCTTTGCAGGCAAACATCAATAAGTATACATTTTCTGGGTCTCAAGAGAAGGAGGGGCACTCACTTCCCATCAACCCCCTGTGGGTCCGCGCCAGGTCGTGAACGGGAATCGAACTCGGCTGGTTCGGTTCGAGAGCAGCTCGCAGAGCGCGCTCACCGCTCCCCCCCCACCCCCCGTGTAGCCTGCGACGGAGCGTCACAGGGCAAGGGCAGCAGCGTCACAGGGGGTGTGTCACAGGGCGAGGGCAGCAGCGTCACAGGGGGTGTGTCACAGGGCGAGGGCAGCAGCGTCACAGGGGGCAGCAGCGTCACAGGGGGCAGCAGCAGCAGCAGCAGCGAGGGGCTGCGAGGCAGCGTCACAGGGCGGCGCCGCCTCAGTGAGGTCACCGGGAGGCGGCACGCGGCGGGGCCAATGCGCTGTGCGAATTGTGAACGTGACGCGCCCCCACGGCGGCGGCGCAGGTTCGCGTGGCTCAGCCCCACACAGAAGCAGCAGCAGCAGCACACGGAGACACAGAGAGAGACAGCCCCGACAGCCCTACACAGAGACACACAGAGGCAGCATCAGCAACAGTCCCACACAGAGAGAGGCAGCCCCACACAGACACACAGAGAGAGGCAGCCCCACACAGAGGCGACGTGATACCCGGTCGGGTAGGCTCCTCTTTCTTATTCTTCATCACCCTCGTCGTATCTCACAGACCAGGGCATCTATAGCCGTGTCAACAGTAAGACGAAGACACACAATTGGAGAGTTGACGCGTTTAGAATCTCGTTCCACCAGCCGCTGAAGATTGGAAGCGTGCGCGGTGCCCTCGTCGGAAACGCAACGAAAGTGCTGCAGCAACTGGTCGTCTGGGCGTCTCACACGCGGCGGTGGCGGTGGCGGCACGCCGAGTCACAGCCAGGGGAGGCGAGGAGACAGATTCAGCAAAGTTTGTTGAGTTTATTATCATTCTTCTTCTGCAAGAGACGAAGATGAAGCTCGTGCCCGCACCCCGGCGCTGCCGCGCTGCTGCCGCTGGTGGTGGTGGGTGGCCGGAGAGGTGCGAGGTCTAAGTTGGAGTCCGCGCCGCCGCTGGTGGTGGTGGTGCTGCTGGTGGTGGTGCCGGTGGTGGTGGTGCTGCTGCTGGTGGTGGTGCCGGTGGTGGTGGTGGTGCCGGTGGTGGTGGTGCCGGTGCCGGTGGTGGTGGTGCTGCTGGTGAAGGTTTTGGTTCTTGGAGGAGGGACAACGTGGCGTTTGAGACGTCTCAAGGTAAGAAGGCTTCACTCCGGCAGACACCCATGGACAACGTAGTGCGTGTAAACACTCGGTACAGGTGAGCAGTTCTACACCGTGGCCCAGGTGTCTTGTGACCCCATTTAATCCTCTAAAACAAATGGTTTACTGTACTTAAGACAAATATGAATATTCAAAGAAACGCACGTTAGGAGTCGGGGGGGGGGGGCACAAGACATATGGACCACCCTGTACAGTCGCCTCGTTCTCACTGCACTGCCGAGCCCGTGTCAGAGAGAATGTATTTGGCCTACTCTTCTACATTGGCCAGATGACGTATTCGGAGAGTTACAATGTGCTTAACTCCTATACATGCAACACGTGTACAGTACACGTAACAGCAGTACAAAGTGTTGAGACATGGCAGCTGCTGGAGTCGGGCTGCTGGGAGCGGCAGCCACTTGGGTTCATTGTCGAGCTGCCCCCATCCCACTAATCCGCGTGACCCGAGTGGGGAAGTATGTTCTTGTGTAGCGTCACGTGTAAAGCTCATGAACCAATCGTGTGTAACACGGTGTTGTATCTACATTATTCGTGTTCAAATTGATGTGAGTGTCCTTTGGTCAATCTGCTGCTGCTGGATGGTAGTCATTTAAGATCTATATATTTAACGTTGTACTCGACTTAAATGTGCATAGGGGCCGTCCATAAATGACGTCACGCACCTAGGAGGGGGGGGTCAGACATTTGTGACGAGGGGGGGGGGGGGGTGAGAAATGCGACGTCACATCAAAATGCGCAACTTTAAATAAATATAGACAACACGTTCTACTTAATTAAATATACTTCTAAATTAATGTTTTCTACAACATCAGAGTGCAGCGCCACATTAAATTCGCACTACCATGACAATAGTTTAAAGCGATTTGAAGCGTGTTTTATTTTCAAAATGGAAATATAGTTTTGGGGGAGGGGGGCAGAGCTTTGTGACGTCATATTTGAGAGGGGGGGGGTCTGACTTTTTGTGACGCCGTGTAACGAGGGGGGGGGGGGTCAAACATCGTCCCAAATCCCGTGACGTCATTTATGGACGGCCCCATACTGTACCCAAGCAGTGTACCCATTACATTCTGGCCCCCACGTTTTGGCTTTAACTTGAATCAGTATCAGAAATCATAATATACTGGAGGAATCCGATAAGCTATAAAGCTCTTTTTCACATTTGCCTAGTAGGGGTGGGTCAGAACGTTGCAACAATTAACAAGACAAAAGCACGATAGGAGTGCAAAGTGTAGGAAAAGTGTCTCCGGTTTTCCCCTTTCTACTTCGCTGCAAGCTCAGTATTTTGCCAAGTTGTCAAGCAATGGCTGCGTTTCGGGCAGCATTGTGGATGGATGTGTGGACCTCTATTTATCCCACTCCGGGCGTGTCTTCTGTGGCCAGGATGCATGTGTTGGTGTGATACCATTCTCGTTAGATTGTGTGTACCGTACAGCAGAGGTGTGGACTCGAGTCATGTGACTTGGACTCGAGTCAGACTCGAGTCATGAATTTGATGACTTCAGACTCGACTTGGACTTGCATAACAATGACTTTGTCCCACCTCTGCCGTACAGTATTGTGTAGGGGAGTCACCCAACTTGTAATGCTCCTCTCCGTTTAAACAGAAATAATCAAGGTTCACATTTGTGGATTTTGGGAGACCTGCCGTTCATTAAAAGCCCTCTGTGCTGCACCTGCACTGTGTCAAAGCTGTTGCTCGTTTGTGCAGACAATTGTACGTGTGTCTTTTGATGCACTATTCTGTAGATTATGTACGTTTGTTTTAGTACTGTACCTGGTTATTATGCTTTCCGAAGTAGTTGTCAACTCTGAAAACGGTTGTCTCATTTGTCTGTCCTACTGCTGTCCAAAATAATATGGCAACAAGTTCGGCCCTTGAGTTGGTGGTTTAGACAAGGCTGTGTGCATGATGAAAGACATGATGGGAATACTGATCCTGTCGTCACAATTGCACCCTTTGTTATCTATAAATGACCTTTTGCGTGTTAAGCATTGCCCGACAATTACATTTAGCCTCAAATCAACCTTCATGTCCGTTTTACACATGTAAATGTGCAATGTGTATGTAGGGCCTGTTGGGCAATCATGTAGAGTATAGGCCCACTGCTGGATGAAGGCCTCCCCCCACAACTTTGCGGGTCACGTGGGTTGTTTTTACCATACTTCACGCTGGTCAATGCTGATTGGTGAAGGAGAGAAGCTGTGTGAACTTAGTACAGGGCAACAGTGGATTCCGTGCTGTGGAATTTGCTTGTGATTTTCAGTGTTTTTCGAGTGGTAATTTGTAAACTTTTTCTTTTGCAATATAAATAACATTACAAACTTTAAATTGGATAAATTAGATCATCAATTAAATAACGGTGTTTTGTGAATTATTCTGGTATTTCAAGGCCACGCTGTATATCACCACCCAGGTAACACAAACCTGAGTTAGAAATGTACAGTTCTACAGTACTGTGTCATTGCCCCTGAACCCAGTCCATGCAGTTTTTGTACATACTTTACAGTTTGTACATGTAATGTAGGACTTTGCACCATTCATCAATTGCACATGAGCAGGTAAAATGAGTCATAAAAGAGCAAGGGTTGGTGATGATAGGATCTCTTTTTATATTTGACTTAAGGTGGAATAATTTCTAGTCGCACCTGTATCGATTGCACATGAAGCCAGGATATAACCGTGTTTGCATGATATTAAGAGACACCTGCCATAATATTGTGGCAAGAGAGATGTTGTACACAGGTCTGTAATTGCATTAAACATTACACATCGCTGCACATTTGTGGCAAGATGAGCGTCCCTGTGCTCTCCTTGTTGCAGCTGTGCACTTGTGGTGTAAGAGCTTTTAACGAGCATGGGTTTATTAGGCAACACTTCTTCAGTTGCAACGGAATTCATTCCCATCTGGGAAATTAAGCTACCGTTGTGTCTTTGTGAGTGCGCATTTCTGTGGAATGCTGCGCCTTTATGGTCGTGCTTGGATGCGTTGTGACCTTGGATTGTAACCTTTGATCTGGAAAGGTGGTCACCACCCCCCAACTGCCCCCCAGATGCCAATGAGGTGCTGGTTTTGGGGTAGCGCATGAATGTTTTGGCTGAATAGCTTGTGGATGTGCACTTGTGTGGAATTGCTTCCATTGTGTATTCTGCAGTCGTATTTTGAGAGCACTGTGGCCCCCTAAATGTGGCTTTAAAGGCTTTGGCTATTGAGATAATGCTTTTTTGTTAATATTGGTAAAATTCCTCATATTCTTGGTTCTTTCAGTAAAGTCACGTAGATAGAAAATAAAATGAAAATAACAGATAATAAAATAAAAATGTAAAATAATAAATTGAAAATAATAAAAGCAAAAAACCCACGACGTTTCGGTCGCAACACAAGCAGTCTTTTTTTTCTTTTTTCTCTCCGCCTGATGAAGACCGCTTGTGTTGCGATAGAAACGTCGTGGGTTTTTTGCTTTTATTATTTTCAATTGATAATTTTTTATTTAATTGTTTTTAATTTTATTATCTGGTATTAAAATTTTATTTTCTATTTACGTGACTTTACCGAAAGAACCAAGAATATGATTTCCTGCAGTCACGAAGGTTTTAAGTCAAGATTCCTCATATTCATGGGCACATAGAGACGTAGAAAAGTGGCATCTTAGATCAGGTTTAAGACGATAAATAAACAACACAATGTACGTAGCCAATTTTGACCCTTCATGTATTAAAAAATGCTTTTGTAAAAAGAGCAACTGTACGCAATGTGTGGTGTGATAAAATTTCAGATGCAATAACTTCCAGTTTCATGGCTGAGTAAAGATTGTCCCCCGTGGGCCAGGTGAAGTGTGCATCTATCCCCTCATGTCAAAATCCCTTGTTAGAGTGACGTGCCACGTGAACCCGTTGGAGACTGGATACACGCTGCTGTGTGCGTGCATGTCGCGTACTGCCTTGCGCAAGCCACGATCAAGCAGCCATATCTATGCATACCAAGTGGCCGTATCTCTGCATACCAAGTGGCCATATCTCTGCATAGCAAGCAAGTTAAACTGCATCCAGTGTCTGCCACGGTGTCTGTCCGAAGCAGTCAAAACGTCATGATGTCAACATTTAACTGCTGATAAACTTGGACTGTGGGCGGTTGTTCCGGTTTGTTTTGTTGTTCGAGTGCAGATTAACTTACGGTCATTCACGTGAACATTGACCACATTCTGTCCCTTGACCACATTCTGTCCCTTGGCTACCAATTGTAGGTGTGTGATCTACCCGTATGAAGAGTCCTGCTGAAATCTTGACGTAGGCAGTAACATGCAATGTGTGGCTACTAGGATGACTCATGTTCATAGGTCATGTATGATGTCATTTCAGCTTGAGGGTAAACTAGTGAGGTCGCATAGTCTTCCAAGTGTAAACGAGTGTGAGGTGTGTTTTGCAAGAGCATCACCAAGAGCAGCTGGTTTTACGCTCATATAATACATCTTATGGCAATGTTGCTGGTGCGTGTAAACAATGCTTACAAATGCAAAATATCCGTCTTCAAAGTATCCAAAAACAAACTCGGGTACATAAATGTTACACGGCGCAGTTCGTATTTTACAGTTCTGTGCACAGATATACGAGGATGATCTTAATGGTAATTTTGAAGTCTGGTGAAATTCAATGTGTACACCACAATTTACATTAGTTTTTTTGGATGATGGACCTGTGGAAAACCCACTCTTCCATATAGGCCTAATTAAGTGATTATAGGGGTATATTATTCAGTTTTTGGGTTTTTTTCCCGTCAATAATTCTGAGATACATGACGTGCACTGTGTATATATACACAGTTGCAAGCCGCCAGGGTGTCGCAGTGTGTGTTGTGTCCGAGCGAGCATCGTTATTGGCTTCCCAGCGACTGTATCGTGACGGCCTGTCTCGGCCACACACAAGCTCTGGCGGTTCAGCCAATCACACAGCAGTGGAACACATTTCAAAGTATCGT